GCTAGTAGGTTGGAGGCTATCGCTAGTAGGTTGGAGGCCATCGCTAGGAGGCTATCGCTAGTAGGTTGGAGGCCATAGCTATTCAAACAAAGATCAAGAAAAGGAAGAAAGGTCTTTTATATTGGTCTCTCATGGGGTTCAAACAAAAAACTTCCTCCAATCTGGTCTCCGTTTTGGACTGGATGGCACAGTGCGTGATGTTCTGATAGATTTACAATGCTGCGAATAATGTTGAAGGCTTGCAAGCCTCATCTCCGACAATCGTCCTTTTCGTACTAGTAACAGGTGCCACGCTAGTAGTAACAGGTGCCTTACTAGTAGTAACAAGAAGCTATTAGTAACAAGAAGCTACTGCTGACCAACATCATTCTCCAAGTGTCCAGGTTGGTCCATCACCTGCAACCCCTGCCATGAGTAGCTCGACAAGCACAATACCCGCAGAGAAGATGTCGGATTTAGGGCATGACGGCGGCAAAACAAACTGCACTCCTGAGCGCCAAATCAGCTTCAGAATGCAAATAACCACTCAACATCCTGAGCACAGCCAAATTCTGCCAAGTGCCACCAAGAATCCAGTTTTCTTGGTGCTTTGCTCGAGCTGAATGCAATGTTCCGGGGGGGCATATCCTGGTGTTCCAATCGCTGTCTGGGAGACCTGCTGTTTGCCATTTGCGCGCTCAGTGGACGCTTTGATGTGCTCCGAGGAACCTGATCAAGTCAAGTGAACTAAGGATTTGGAACTGCTCAATCCAGCTTGCTAGCTTGCTTGCTTACTTAACTTAACTTAACTTAACGTTGACCTCCAGGAGGTTCATCCATGATTATACACATCACCTGTTCACCCAGCCGAACACCAGGACACAAAGTAAGAGAACTGCTCTGTCCAACCACCCAATACCGTATTGAGGCTAATCCTCCAAAGGGCTGAGCTTGGCCAATCCAAAGTCAAAGATCTTCACCTCAGATCCCCAAGCGACTCACTTGGCCAAGGCCTCACCCCTCCAGCCAGAGGTAAAAGTGAGGATTTACCAACCGAAAAATGGGCAATAAAACACGGCAGCAGGCCGATTGATTTGTTGTGCGAACAAAGAATGTTGATTCTGAAACTCTTGCAAGCGCTCTGATTCAGATCATACCAACCCATCAAGCTCCGCCTTCGAGATCCTTCATTCAAGCTAGCCACTTGCCCGTCCTTGGAAAGCAAGATGTTGGCCGGCTTGATGTCCCAATGCACAATACCAACCTGAAGTTGAGCACAATGCAGGGCAGAAGCAAAAGTTTCGTTTGCTGAAACACTCTGAAACAGGTCTTCCCATGGTGTGGACCAGAGTCTTCCCTTCCAAAACTGTCACCTGACTTGATCCAAAACTGGATCTACACCAGCCTCGTGAAGGTCAGCAAGGCCTGCCACTGCACGAACGAATGCCAGTCCGCCACTGCACCGAGAAAACACATCAAAACTCGTTGGTTTGCACTAGAAATTCCGTTCGTCCGGACTCGTTGGTCTTTTTCTCATGAGATTTTCTCATCACGGGTGCAACAAAGACAACTCTTTGGTCCTCCCAGCCTTGCATGAGCTGCTTGAAGATCTGACGGGAGGCATTCATGCCACCCTTCAGCAACTTCGGGCGCGCAGAGTTGCGGTCGGAGAGCCAATCAGCCAGTGTAGTGCCATCACCTCAGACCACAAATCACGCTAAATTGGGCTCCGCCGGTCCAGCTGGGTGGTGCTTCGTTGACTTGGGGCCAAGGGCGTGAACGTTTAACAGCAACTATGGTGTGCCAGCAGCTATGTTGGCTTAACTTGATGGAACATGTGATGTGATGAGGTGAGCCGAGCTAAACCGAGCGGAGACAAGACAAGCCTTTGGGTTCAGTTGAGGAGACGAAATAGCGAGGTCTCCCAAAGGCTAAGCTCGCTAAATCCTTTAGCGACGATCTATGTGCAAGACACCAAGCAGAACGCAAAACGTCAAAGAGTTAGAAAAGTCTTCAAAAAGTCAAAAAGGTAAACGAAAGCACGCAGCGAGACTTTTCGACTTTTCGAGACTTTTTGACTTTTCTCACTGTTCGATACTTTTTGACTGTTCGATATTTTTGGGCACCAGTCATATGCCGTGCCCTTCAAGAAAAGTCTACAAACGTGGCTTTTGCTCCTACAGGTATAGGTTGCTGTTTTCCAAACATCTCCAGCCGTGTCAAAGTGAGTCAGCCTCGAGCAGGAACGCCTTCAAAAAAGAGACGCCCGCCAAAAGGACCCGGCAAGCCCCGCGACCTTTTGGCGGGTGACTCTTTTTATCATCGTTGTCTTTTCGTGCACTTTCGACTTTTCGACTGTTCGCGACTTTTCGACTTTTCGCAAAAAGTTCGGAGAGCAAGTAGATCCAGCTCATACATTTAGCAACCACAGCCCAAACGGGGACCATGCGAGTTGGACCCGCAGCTCCAGCTCGCTCATGCTTCCTGACTAGCATCACTTTGCTGAAATCTGGTGCTCCTAGCAATGGTCCTCTGGCAGCCCTGAAAGGAGGGCCACGGACGCTGGTTGGTCCAAATGGCAATATTCCATCTCAATCACGAGGACAACGTCGTAGTGCTTCTCGCCTCACACGAGCCCAAATGTTGAGATCTCAACTCTTCCACTCGGTTTTGGATGCAAATGTGCTTGAAGTCTGCAATCCCAACTTGCAACGAAATCTGCTTTGTCCCGCGGTGGAGGCCGAAGAAATCAAGATAAATCAAGTGTCTTTCCTTATCCTTTCTTCAAACACCTTCAGGAGGCCATCGCTATTAGGTTGGAGGCCATCGCTAGTAGGTTGGAGGCCATAGTGTTGGTCCCACCTCGGCCAGTCCTCTCCTTCTGTGGCTTGGACACCTCAGGGAGAAAAATGGTGCGCTTCTGTTTGAATATATCTCTTTTGTTGAGACTAGAGATGACTAGGGTCTCTCTCTCTCTCTCTCCCTGGATTTCGTGCATCATTTGTTGTGAGAGAGAAAAACAACTGGTTTCTAATTATTCTATCTGACCTTTGCACCATATTTCATCATAGTTCCCCTTTTATGCATCCATCCTTGACACAAAAATGACACCAGTGTGTGTGTGTGTGTGTCGGGAAGCGCGGAGTGGACATTTCCACGACAAGCACACAATGGAACAAGCACGCATTCCTTGGGCCCTGCCTCTGACTGTGGTGTCGAGGGTGGGGAGTTTTCTGGCATCTCCGTGACCACCCATTCAAAGCCGCAGGAGCTATCGAGACCTGCAAGCCAGCTTGAGCAAACCAAAGCTGGTCTGATTGAAACGGCCCTTTCCAGCTCCTTCATCCCCGAACAGCTACAACAAGGACCCATCCTTCACAAAAGGCTCTCTTATGGTACTTCTTGGGAGCTTTATATATACAGGCCTCAGTTTCACATTTGCGCACCAACCATCATGCTCTAAAAAGAAACATGTGCGAATCTTGCGAATCCAACCATGAAACTGTCAAGAATCCCTTCACCACAATTCCCACGCAGTCCTCCTGATAAGTTCATCGTTGAGACCTCTGCGCCAAAGATTGCAGATGTGTGATGGACACCAAAGATGAGACCAATGAGACCAATGAGACCCAAAACGAGACCGTCCAACGCGTCCAGCAGCTGAGCAGCTCGCACCTGCTCCGGCCCCAACCAGTTGCATAACAAACAGCAACCGGGCAATCCCCCCAATTCTCCCACCAGTCACAGTCTGGACGATTTCGGGGGGGCTATAAGGTTGGAGGCCATCGCTCTTAGGTCTTAGGTTGGCTCACTTGCTGAGCCTCCAGGCCGGTGTCAATGGGTCATCCAAGGGCCTACGCTCGATGGCACCTGGGCTGCTGGCAACCAAAGAAGACTCACACCACAAAATCTACAGTGGACATCACAATACTAAGTAACAATTGCCTTTTGCATCCTTTTACTTGCTGCTCCGGCTTAGCTGGCTGTGTCTCTGATTGTATTTGCCTTGCTGCGTGGTTCTGCAGTGACACCCATAACGACTTGCCCACTCTGCCGGGACACGTGCGCTCCTTGGAGACTGCATGAATTGACTCCATGAATCAGGTAGGTCTTGAGGGAGCTCGGTCCACCTCCTTGCATATCGAAGAACCTGCATTCCAAGCTAAAAGCACACGAGGTTGGTCACCTTTTCATTCATGTTTTGGTTAGGATGGTGAGGTCACATCAACATGATCATTTGCCAAAATGGTTAGACAGTTGAGCTTCAGGCAGGGGTAGAGTCTTGATCAATATGGTTTCCACCAATGACAGTTCATGGCAGCGACATTCTGAGTGGGCAAATTACGCTTGAAACAAGGCGAAAAAGGCTTGGATTTGATGGAGTGACATGAAATGGGGATGTGTCAAGTTGGGGACGCCAACTGGAATTCATCCACATCGTCAACATCATTGTAGGCCACCGAAGCACCCTTTCACCATCTCTCGGCCTTCGAGCTTCGCATCTGTTGCAATTGCTGGAATACTTTTGGTCCGCTCCAATTGGTGTGGTTGTCATCGACTGTTTCCTCGGCCAAACCGCAACACCTCTCTCAAGGAGGAAAGAGAAAGGCATCATGCTTGTAGGTAAATTCAAGCGTTCGATCAAAAAGTATGGAAGAAAAGTAGTTTCGGAATCGACTGAATCGACTGCAGGTTTTCCAGCCCCAGCCATTTCACGATATTTATAAAATTTGCCCTTCTCAGCCGACCAGCCGGCATCCCGAGTCGGACTCCCGGACTGAGGATGAGCATCACGCGCCAAGCATCAGACGCCTTCAGCTGCATGGGGATGAGCTTCAGCGCCACCCATTGTTTGCTGGATCGATGCCACGCCTTGACCACCTGCCGTGGATTGGACGTATTGGAAGGATTAGAGAGGTTGGTTGTAAGTGCATGAAAATTGCGAGTGGATCTTAATCAGCGAAGTTTGAAGCTATCACTGACGGTCCATAAGCGGCGTAGCGTCGGAACGGAAACCGCACCTTTTCTAGTCGCTTGATCCTTGAGCCAAAGTACATATGGTACATATATATGTACATGTTGCACTGTGCATGTCGCTGCACTTCCATTCGCACCCCCCATGTGAACGGCAACAATATGTTCCGATCACACACGAAAATTTAGGGATGTAAGTGCTACAAAGGAAATTGTATGATTTGCCGCGAGACTCATATGAGGCTCATACTACAAAACATGCTGGACTAAAGCGGACTTTTACATATAAAGTGTGCAACTATGGCTCAGAACCTATGAAAAAAAAATCGAATTGAACAAGTGAGACAGTCACGAGGCCTCGCTCAGTATCCACTCAAAAGAGCATCGCTTTGATGTAGATCCGAACTGGTGACTTCCACGTAGATGTCACATCGGCAACTGACTTCACACTTCTCAAAAGATGTAGGTTTTAGTTTGGATACACTTACAGAACGGCAAGTCGGAGAGACAGTCGGTGATTGTCTTCCTTCCATTATGCTCATGGTATCAAATCAGATTGACGATTTGCAATGATACACTTACAGCGTTTCAGGTCAGATAGACATCCGGTGAATGACTTCCTCCCTGGTTTGCATTGTATCCTCATAGTCGTTCAAAGAAATCACCACTGGTGATAACCTCTCCATCCACGATGATCCCAGCTGCCCTGAGCATCCCATCGATCATCTTCTCCCTTCTTGGACTTTCCCTTGGACTTGCTCTTTCCCTTTCCCTTTTCAGAAGGTTGAGGTACTTCGCGATGTTCTTGCGTTAGCGCCGGCCTCCAAGATGTTCCAGATTGGCCTCCTCCTTTGGAATGTCCTCGGGATGATGAAGAAGTTGTACCTTCTGCTGCATGTGTGTTGGCGGCAAGATCTTCCTGCAAAGCCTGCTCGAACACATCGGTAGCACTGGATGGTGATTTATCATGTGGTCTGGCTTTTAGAACAGCCTTCGCCTTGTTTTCCTCTGTTGATGAGGGCCCGAAACTCTTAGGTGCTATTGGAGGTTTTGGCTCCTCACTTGGTGCTGACGACGGCTTGGCCTCGGTTCTGGGTGTAGATGCTGGCTTTGCCTCAGCTCTTGACGAAGATGCTGTTTTCGCTTCAGACTTAGTCGTTGATGTTGACTTAGCTGTTGCCTTGGCTGCCTGCTTCTTCTTGCCCTGAATCTCCTTGGCCCTATCTCCAAAGCCTAGACGATTGGTAAGAGCTTGAACATGCTTATGTTCTACCACGCTCATCCATCTCTCTGTATGTCCAACGTTGGGGTTTCTGGCCATTGACTCTATGACTTCCTGAGCTTGTGGGGGTAACCTGATCTCATGTTGATCAATGATCAACAGAATAGACTTCTCCCACTTGCTCTTCATTCTTGAGTACATGATGTCCAGAGGATCGATCACCTTGTGGTTGGGTGATGTAACGTCGGTTCTAAAGTAAGAATATGTCCGACAACCATAAATCGCATGGATGCACTTCTGTACCAATTCAGTCATTGCGCTGGCTTTCTTCACTTTCAACTCCTCAAGCTGGGCATCAGTCAAGTCGGTGGAGTGTTCGAAGTTGCCATATTCCTCCTTGAAGGAGTTCGGAGTATGACCAAATGATAGGATCATGAGTGCTACCTTGCAAATGAATTGCTCTCCTCTGAATCGGTGCCAGGCCTCCTCAGTTGTAATATTGTTGTCGTTGGCAAAGATTAACATCATCTCATCTGTTGGATCCAATGGTCTCCCATCGCCATCGACTTCAGTGGAATCTCCTGTACCGAACTTGCTTATCACATCCAGACGCTTCTTTTTCCAATTTGCTTTGAAGTCGGTAAGGCTGGTGCAATAGTAGCTCTTGTACATCAGGGAGATCATGCTCAGCACACATTTGACCACATACCTATCCATCAAACCCGATGCTTTCACGGAGACGTCCTGACAGTAGGCTCTCTCTTGATGCGCATAGATTCGAGGTTCCGGTACTCGACAATAGATGGGGAGATCCTCGTTGTCCTTTCCTTCTTCGGGATTGAACTCGGTCGCTCCATGCTGTGCATAGTATCCCGGTTCGTCACGATCTGTCGGTCGATTCGCCTCCGGATGTAAGTCGTCGGTGACGTCTTCATCCTCGGGCTCACCATCTTGACGTTTCTTCCCCTCATATTGTTGTGTGCTCCTCTGGATCTCGATGATCATATTTCGTTCATCTTCATCTTCTAGATCAGAATCACGACCGTAGTCGATCTCGTCCTCATTGAAAGATGGGGTCTCGACATTGTCACTCTTGAAGTTTTCTGCACCATCAGACGGTTTGGAAGGATCTATATTGTCCATGTCCTCGTCGTCGTCAGCTGCTTCAGTTTGAGCGATGTCTTCTTCCCAAGCCCTTCTGATCTCGTCCATAGTGGCCTGGTCCAAAGTATCTTGAACATCATCTTCAGGCTCCTTCTCTTCCTTCTTTTCCTCTTCATCGTCGGTCACAAGATCAACGGGTGAATCGGAAATGACAGTGTTGCGAATACCACACGAGAGTAGTCTGCCTTGACAAGATAGACACACGGACAAAGATGAAGAAGTCAAATGCATACATGATGGACACAAAATAGTGCCATCCACGTTGCGATATCCTTCACATGTTCTGGAGATGATTTCGTCCCAAGTTTCCTCACTGATGGAATCCTCGATCAGCTCTCCATTGTCATCGAATTTTACTTCATCGATAAGGGACACGAGCTTTTGGACGTTGTCATCTGTCGCCGAGGCTGACTTCGTGACTTCGTCGGCTCTCTCGAGGATGGTATGCTTCTGAGCAACCCAAAGTCCATGACGTGCCGCTAGAACAACTTGCTCTCCGGCGCTTCCCAGCAGGAGTCTCCTCCATGCCTGAACGTGGTCGTCCCAATACCAAGCACCTCGTACACATCTCCATGGAACTTCTCTAAAAACAACAGTGTAGGAATTCTCCGAAATTCTTCCCCCAAGCTTCCTCAAAGTCATGATTGGAACATAAAGGCATACGGGCATTCCCCCCCCTTGGCCATCTTGATCTCAGAATCTTTGATGATCGATCATCCCACGGCGCAAAGTGGTTGAAGAAAACACTACCTCTATATCCCTCCATTCCACCAGGGACAATTCCTAGTTTCATAATTGACTCAATATTGGAAAGCGATGTCATGTGAAAGCTTCCTCCAAGCTGCATTGCCACATTCTCTGGAATGAGATGTGAAGTCCACACAGGATATATTGACACGTCCTCTTCAAGAACAGTCTCTCTTCCTGAATTGTGAGAGGCAACAGCTCGAATTGCGCAAGGAACGATCCAACGTTCATGCTTCAGAAATGACGGTGCGTCTGTGCCGTAAAACATGAGGTTTGCCCAGTATTGCCTTTCCTCTTCGAGTGAGACATCCTCCTTTGAGATGCGAATGGCGGCAATCTGATAGCGTACTCTGTTTTGCAACTTCTTTGCATGCCACATCGCCTTGCACAAATATTGGTATCGATCTGTCTTGGTATCTTGCTCACGTTGAGTGCCTGAGATAGTACTGATATTGACACCATCGCTGAAGACATGATCATATTCCAGGATCTCATCGATGTTCACCCATCCACCCTCATTGCACTTCGGGGACACATGTGGTTTTCGACCGCGGTGCGATTGAATCCCATTATGCTTTCCCACTCCATGCCTGAGTAGTCTATTGAGTCTATGGCTAATCTCGCTGACCCACTGACTCTCCTCGCTGGACTTGTCGATGCGAATTGCTGGGTTCATCTTTGGTGGATCCGTGAAAGTTGCATCTCTCTTCGGTCCATTCCAGTACTCCACATAGAATGTAACTCCATACTGTGGAATTATCTCGATGTTTCCTCTATCGCAAGCTACCTCAATCTGCCGATATCCAGCCTTTTGAAATTGTTGTGGATCAGGAGCAAGGTCCTTCACTTTGGGCATCTTTATTCCGAGTGCTGCAGCCTCCTGAATAAGTGCATCAAGTTCCCTCTTTCCATCGGGACCTGATCTATCAACCCTGTGATTTGCGACCTTGTATTCTCCTCCTTCTTTGTCATCGGCAATGTCAAAGAGGTCGACGGGCTCTTTGAATCTGGTGACGAAACTGGCGTTCCCAAAGGCCTTCTTGGTTGCCTCGACCGCTTTCGCGTATTCCTCTTTTGCAGAGTCTGACGAATGTGGTCTACCTTTGGCTCTCGGAGAGTAAGGTGGTACCTTACTTCCTAGTTCCGGTTCTTCTTCGGGAAGTTCAATATCTTCATCATCCACATCCATGTAGTCCTCGTCTTCGACGTCTTTGGATGACTTTGCTTTCCTCTTTCGGTTTTCAACATCACGTCGGATGATTGCCTTGTCGTTCTCGGTGAAGCACTTGCGCATAGTGTCCTCCATGTAAGAAAATGATTTCATCAACTCGTTCTTCTTCTCAGTGTCGGGACAAATAGCCAGGTGATGTTGGTTTGAACCGCAACAATAGCACACCATTTGGCTCTCTGCGCGTGCTCTGACCCTTCTGAGGTTGTCATAGGCGGATTTCCAGCTGGAAGCGGTTGCTGCACCTTGCCCACTGCGCTTGGCAGCTCTTTTCCGTTCTTCAGTATCTGGATTCGATGTCGGGTAGTTTGACCATGTTTTCGTCGGAGATACTGAACGACCTTCCCCTTCCTTGTAGTCTTGCGGGTCAAGCTCAGGCGTAGGTGGTTCAGGCTCCTCGACTCCTGGAGTGGTACTCGCAGGGTCGGCTTCGCCATCCTTCATCTCTACATCAGGCTCTTCCGTAGACGTTCTTTTGGGCTCTGGGGCTATGGCCAGTCGTACCATTCTCCTGAACTCTGGTCTGGTAGCATACCTGGACATGAC